TAAATAAATATTTCTTATAAAGTGTACACAAAATGAACTTATATTTTATTAAAAAGAAGTGAAGATATTGTGAAAAATATAATACTCCATGTAAAATGTACATATAATATTATGCAATAGAAAACACGATAGTAAAAGTTCTGTATTTTATCAAAAAAGAAGGTGAAGAAGAAGAAGAATTTTATAACAAAATACTTTACAATGTACAATAATGCATAAAAAGTGAAGAAAAAATATTTAACAAAATTGGATATGAAAATAAATTAAGAACTCAAAAGAGTAGCTTAGTCGAATGATAAGGTTTGTCGTTAGCATTTCTGGTGGAGCGGATTCAAGTCACAAAAATAATTTCTCCAAAAATTGGGATAAAGTTACAATCATCTTACCCTTTTTAGACTCCGCTAAAGCTAAGTTTGTTTCTCCGACTATTTAATTTTCTTAATTTACCGCAATATTTGAGTGCTTGTTTCCTAGTTTGTTTTTTTTAGTCTATTTGATTCAATACTACTTAATTTTTATTATTTATTTTGACAACATAAATTGATATTTAGACAACAAATATAAAATTTACAATAAAATATGTCATACAATACAAAACAAGGCTTGTAAATTGGATCGGATAGGATCGGATTCGGATCGGGATTCCACGATCCTATAAGATCCCACTACCAGGATCGAAAGATTCTACCTATAAGGAGTTTTTTACACGATCCGGATCGATTGCACTCAAATAGATCGTAAGATCGTAGGATCGTAAGATCCGGATCGGGATTCTGGTAACCATGTCTGTAATTTAGCCAAACCTCGAGGGGGGTATATGTAATTTGCCCTAACATTTAATGCCAAAACTAAACGTATAAACCAAAATTAAATGTCATTATATTAAATAACTTACAAATCATAACTTAATTTTAAAATCATATTAAGCATATAAAACTAAGAATAAAAAATAAGTCTAGTGAAAGGAATTTTATCTCTGTAGTAGACGAAAATATTGTTACGATTACGGTATGGTACTTGGGTATATACTAGGTACGTCTTGGTACGCTAAAAATTATGGGGAAAAAAAATTTAAATACGTGTTTCGTATACCCGGTACGTATGCAGAAGTACCATACGAAGTACCATACGCCAGTAAGTATCCGGTACGAGTGCGACATGTTTGTCAAAGTAGCTATGCTTCATAGTTGATACATGGGCAAATGTGTTACTTTTGTGTTGGACCTTATGGAATATGCAAGGGTTGTTTATAGTTGTTTTAGAGTGTTTTAATTTTGTACCCCACTTTGGTGGGAGTTTGTTATAGCTTCTTGTTTGTGTATTAGTCTCCCCTTTCTTGAGGAGCGGCGTTAGATTTGTTGTATTACTTGAGGTATGCCCCTTGTAAATATATACATTTTTTGCATTTATTTTATGACTTGATTACCCTAAAAAGGAATATTTGTCAGAAGGGGAGAAGTTGATGTTGGTTAAGAGTATGTTGCCGAATATTCCAACTTATTTTATGTCGGTGCATGTCATCCCAATGTCGGTTGCTCGCCAGTAGGAGAAAATGCAGCAGGATTTCCTTTGGGGCAATGTTTTGAAAACTGGACCTGTAAACAAACTGGAAAAATCATTGGGCGAATGGGGCACTGGTTCCACCGCAGATGAACCGGAATCCGGAATTGAACCGTGAAGTCATAATTATGTCATAAATATATTAAAATTTATAAGTATAAAAAATATAGCTATTAAAATTGCAAAAACAATAAATAATAAGCAATAACAAAATATATATATATATTTCTTAAAATTTATTCTACTTTTTTATACATTTATTTTTAGTAAAAATAATTAAGATAATATTGAATATATACTATATATACTCATTACCCTGTCAACAATTATGTTGATGGCTTAGTGATTAGATTTCTTACTTTTTATGCACTTGATTCCATGTTCAAGCCCTCTCCACAACATATTTTTGGAAGAAACTTCAATTCTTCAAACCGGTCGATTAGGTCGACCCGCAACCTGTTCGTCGGTCATTCCGGTTGAATCAACGGTTCTTCCGATTTTTAAATTATAAGCTGGTTTCGAGCATAATCCGGAGGGTCATCCGAACTTTAACTAGGTCTAGTCACCGGTTTGGCCGGTTGGCCGGGTTTTCAAACATTGGGGTAGGTGGGGAGATGAGTTTAAGTATCATTTGGTGGGTAGAGATGAGGTTTGCAATCCAAAAGAGAAGGGTGGGTTGGGGTTATGGAAGTGACATCTAATAGGGTTTTATTAGAAAAGTGGTTATAGCATTTTGTTGAAGAAAATAAGTGATTTTGGCGTTGGGTGGCAACAGAGGTGAAGTATGGGGTTGGGTGGGGGGATTGGAGTTCTAGGGAGATGGCTACATCTCATGGTATGGAGCTGTGGAAAGGTATTGCTTTAGGGAATTGGGAGTTTGATAGGTAGGCTGGTTTTCGTGTGAGGAGAGGGGAGTGGGTGTACATTTGGAAGGATAGGTGGTGTAGTGACCAGATGTTGGAGACTTTGTTTCCGCTAATTTTTCATATAGCGATGGATAAGGAGGCGTTGGTGGCGTCGTTTTTGGGGAGGCTTGGTGGGTAGGTGGTTTGGGATGTGCAGTTTCAACTTCTTCTTATTGAGCTTTGGTGGCTATCTCTTTTCCCTGGTGGAGTTTTTGGATTCCTGGAGTGTCGTCCAAAGTGGTGTTCTTTGTGTGGACAGCAGCGCTAGACCATATTTTGACTATGGACAATCTTATTCAACAACGACATATCTTGGTCAATTGGTGTTGTATGTGCTATTGAGATGCGGAATCTATTTCACATTTGTTATTGCATTATCCAGTGGTAGATCAACTTTGGGGTTTGATCTTTTTTTGTGTTTGGTGTGTTTTCTGTGCAACAAGGTAGTGTGAAGGGTGTGTTGTGTAGTTCGAGAGGGGGTCGGGTCGGGAAATGATGCTAGAAGGCTTGGGATTTGGCACCTTTGTGTCTAACGAGGTTGATTTGGTTGAAACATAATTAGCAGACCTTCCAAGGGATACTTGTGTTTGTTTTGAAGCATCGGTTGTTGGCCATTTTATATAGTTTGGTTTCTGTGAGGGTGTCTCCAGATATATTTTCGTTGGTGGACTTTTTAGATGCATGTATAGGGTGTCGTAGTTTTGGTGCTTCATTGTATTTGTTTGCATCATCTTGATGCTCGTTTCTAATACCCTCTTTTATTTCTTCAGGTAAAATGGTGTCTAACAAAGATGATCTGGCGCATTTCATGTTTGCCTTGATCAAATGTTAAGTGTCTGGTCTTCACACATTTAGAAGAGTTTGTGTAATATAACATACAAGGCATTCTAATTGGCACTCCAATATCATATTTTCTCAAAGATGAAAGATTGGGGGCACATGGCCTAGCACCCAAATACCACTCTACCAAGCAGCAGTGTATAATTGTTGATCAGAGCAACAAAGAGTTTCCACTCCCTTCTAACTTCTGTCAAAGAAAGTAGAAGCTGGGAGCAGTTATGGGAGCCAAAATCAGGAGCCAGGCACTCAGCTAGGATTGCTCAGGTGCCTTCCTCTCTGCTCTGCTCGGGTGCACTCTGCTTTGCTTGGGTTGCACTACTCAGCCAGGACACTTTGTTCGGACAAGTGACTGCTTGACCAATATGTAAGGCCATTTGAGTTGAGAATATCCTGGGAGCATCCCAACAAGATATTTGGATAATGCCCATCACATCCAGATAATGAGGTCACTATCCCACAAATAGTGAAGCAACTATCTCAAGTTAGTTATTCAAATATATATACACCTACAAATAGTCAGGTACACAATAACATAATCATTGGCACTAGATTTCAATAGTTATTTCTATCTTCATATTCATGGAATTGGTGCTAGGCATCAGAGTGACCGCCTAACGTAGGCCAGCTGGGCACTAACAATGCCTTATTTTGTAGATTCACAACACGTTTATCTCTTCATTGATTCCATCATCAACAGTGTGGGCCTTATTTTTTCCCGACACATTTACTTTATATGAATTTTACATTGGCTATATTATTAAAAACAAAAAATTGTATTTCTATCGTAATTACTATATGAAATGATGAATTTGTTGTCTTTACATACTTTATAAATTTAAAGAGTACTTGTAGAATTTCCAAAATGTTTTTATAGGTAGAATAGAATTAATATTAAGGGTTAATTACATTTTTGGTCTCCAAAGTAGGACTCTTGTGTCGTTTTCACAATTTAACTATTTGGGACTAAATTGAAACACTTCTATACATTAGGGACTAGATTGACATAATTTAAACATTATAACCAAAATGATATAGACTCATATTTTTGGAACTACAAATCTGATTAATCCCAATATTTATTTAGATGATACTACAGTCTATATATAGTGATAAAATTTTGTAGCCTAGAAACGTGGAATTGAACCAGAATCGAACCATTTTTACAGTTTGATTTTGTTTGATTCCAAAGATTTCTTGGTTCGATTTGGTTCTCAAATATTTGGAACTGTAGGGAATGGTTTGGTTCTTGGTTCACCTTAGAACCGGACCAATCCAGTCCATGAACACCCGTAATCACTCCCTTGATAAGTTAAAAGGGTTGAGCTTCTCTCCAATTCAGCTCAGGCAACCGAACTAGACGTCCAGTCCAAGCTCTGGATGTTGGAGATCTGTATTCATAGCGACGAAAACTCACCTAAGCGCATAATACATTAATTATCTTCTAACCATTTTACTAAGTCGTGAAAATGAGGATCACCACATCAACAAATGTTTATCAACAATATTATGATGCATTAATCAATGGGAATTTAACAGAGCATTGCCAATACGCTACTCGAACAAACAAGCTACGGGAGATTTCTAAGCAGACATCTAAATTTAATAACAATATTAAAAAAACAAGAAAATAAAGGATGTTGCCCAAAAGTACAAAATATACTACAAATCCTGAAAAAAAGAGTAATGGAAAATTACCATCTTGAAGAGGTTGGGTACACATAGCAAGAGAATGCCCAGTTTCCCCACAATTATAACACAATTTCTTATCCATGGTCTCATCATTTTTGTTAGGACAATTCTTGAGACTGTGCCCACGGTGCCGACAAAGCAAACATATCTACAAGCATGAGAGTAAAAACACAACGCCACCAATATTAGTTGACCCACGAAGAGATTCAAGCTTTTTGATAAATAAAATGAATGCCAAACTGAGAAAACTCAAACGCATCATAGATAAAGAAAGAAGAAGGATTGGAAATTGATAAGAAAAACGGCTAAACCTTGTTCTTATCCCACTGAGCTTTTTCAGGGCAGTGCTTGGCAATATGGTCAAGGGCTTTACATATGTAGCAGCTCTCACCGGGCTTCATTCCAGGAACTCTAAGTGGGTGTTTGCTAAATTTAGATTGGAGGGTTTTGGTTTCTTTGCTATTATATGATTTCTTGCGCTTGAATTTGCTCTTTGTTTTCTTCTTCATCTTCATGTTTGGGTCTTTTGGGGGTGTTGACTCTGGCTTTGGGAACAGTTCAGGGTTTGCTTCTTTGTACCGCTTGCGAGCTAATACCTGTCTTTTGCTCACCATCTTCTCTCTGCAATAACGATGAACAACAGGTCTCGCAGAGAAGCGAAGGGAGGGGAAGGGTTTTCTCGGCTGACAAAAAAATAAAAAAATAAAAAATAGAAAGCGGTGCTCTCAGAGCACGTGTACGGTGCACTGGGTTGGAGTGAAATGTTAATTATATATAGAGTTATTTTGAGAGGGCGGTTACAAGGGCTTTTCTCAAAAATTAGTATTAGAGTAATGTTAGAGACCCTAAATATTTTATTAAAAGTTTTATTAAATATTTTATATGGGTGTGGGACTCATATAATGTGGGTCCTATGTGGGTCCCACATCCATATAAGATATTTGGTAAAATTTTTGATAGAATTTTTGGGGCTTCTAGCATTTTTGAATTAGTAACCTACTTTTCAAATTAGGTCTAGTTTAGACGGAATTTGTAAATTAGGCTAAAGTATTATTACAAATTACGCTTTCACTGTTTGGAGCTGAAAATTTGATGAATAGTAAAAGCGTTATTACAAACTACGCTTTTAATTAAGAAAGCGTGGTTACAAACCACGCTTTTAAGATAAGTTTGTTTTCTGAAGAAAACGTCATTCTAAATCACGCTTTCACTGTGCATATATTTTCTGAAGAAAGCGTGGTTAGAAGCCACGCTTTCAACACTACCCCAAAATACACAAACACTACACTCACAAACACACACTCTCTCTCTCTCTGACACAAATACAAACAAACACAAACATGACTCACACACACACTCACACTCAATATATATATAAATTTTAATATATATTTATAATTTAATATATATATAAATTTTATTTCATAAAATTGAAATCAATATTAAATATATACAATAATTTATAATAACAAATAATAATCAACTATATAAAATGATTACTTTTTTATTTTAATTCTTAATTTTTTTTATTTTACTGTTTAGGGATAAAATTTATTTTTTTTTATTTAGGGTTTAGGGTTTAACACCCCCTCAGGTTTATGTTTATGACAGTTCTCCCCTCACCTTTGAAAAAAAAATTCATTGAAATAAAAAAATAAAATTAATTGGAAAAAAATTATTTGAAAAAAAAAATTTGTTAGTAAGATTTTAAAATTTTTGTTTAAAAACCAGCGTAAACTTTTTTTTATTACAATTATACTTTAAAGTAAAATTACATTAAAAGGCATTATTAAATGAAACACCCACCTATCAATAATAACTAATACTCTATAATATTGGACACCCACCCCTCCTCCACCTCCACCTCCACCTCCAACTATACGTATTCCATGTTTGTAAACCCTAAACCTATTACTTTTCATAACCAACTAATATAAACCCTAAATCTATTATTTTTCATAATCATCTTGAATCCTGAATGTGTCATCTTCATCACCATCATCAACGCTATTGAACTTGAAAGTTTTGCTTCAAGTATAACGTATATTTCATCACTTATTTCACAGTGTAGAGCAATGGAGGACGAGGACAACATTCTTGGTCGTTTATCTGTCTTGTATTAACATTTTTGATCGTTTTCGGTCGTTCTTGTTTCGTTCGAGCTGTTCGGTATTGGTTTGCTGACTGTTACAATTATGTTCGGTAACACAGTACTGAACATAATCCTTTCGTTCAATACATAAGTTCCGAACATTAATGCAGATAGTCAGTTATGTAATTTTCTTTGTTAAACTAATTTAGAATGGAAAAGAGTGAATTGGAATGAATTTAAGTTATGTATTTTGAATGGATTTAATTCATGTTATTTTAAGTTGTGAATTACAATGGATTCAAGTTACACAGCGATGAACAAATTTTGTTCGGACATACAGTGCTGACAAGATCATTATTGTTCGACAAAACAGTTCTGAACAAAATACATTTTTTCGGCTACACAGTGGTGAACAAATTGGGTGGGTGTGCTTTTCATTGTGAAAATATGGAGATTAGTTTTCTATTCTGAAAATATTATGGAAATATTATGGAGATTAGTTTTCCATATATATACATTGTTTTCTATTCCTACAATTCGCTTCAATCTTCACTTTCTCATCTGAATTTTCCAATCAATGGCAAATTCCAAAGAGACCCACGTCGTCGAAATCCTAATCGACGAAGAACACCAACCTCACAAGTAAATGCATTGTGTTTTGAGGAACCACTTTTTAGATGTGATTAATATTGAAGAGAGAAAAGAAAGAAAAAACTAGGGCTTTAAAGGGGTTTTGAGAGAGAGAGAAAGAGAAAAGAAAGAGAAAAATCTTCACTTTCTCATATAAACAAAAGAGGTTTTGAGAGAGTGAGAGAAAAGAGAGAGAAGAGACATCACTGATGAGGAGAGAAAGAGAGAGAAGAGAGAAGAGAGAAGAGAGGGAATTGGAATGGATTCAGGTGGGTGTGCGTTTCATTGTGAATATGGGTAAATTTGGTAATAAGTGGGGTGTCCAAAAAAAATATTATTAAAATTTAGGGTTTAGGGTTGGGGTCCAAAGAAATTGGGGGTCCAAAGAATTTTGGTAGGTGTTAATAGCAGCACTCAAATTACAAACATGTTTGGTTTGAACAAAATGTTTAAAAAAAAATTAAAACATAAACTAAAAAATATGTTTGTTCAAGCCTAAAATATTTATATTTATATTTATTATTTATGACAATGGGATCACACATATTATAAGTGAAAAAAAATTAATTAAAAAAATATTTGAAAAAAAATTAATTGGAAAAAACGTGGTTTGTAAAAATTATTGAAAAAAAATATTGAAAAAAAACGCGGTTTATATTTATTATTTATGACAATGGGATCACACATATTATAAGTGAAAAAAAATTAATTAAAAAAATATTTGAAAAAAAATTAATTGGAAAAAACGTGGTTTGTAAAAATTATTGAAAAAAAATATTGAAAAAAAACGTGGTTTATATTTATTATTTATGACAATGGGATCACACATATTATAATTGAAAAAAAATTAATTAAAAAAATAATTGCAAAAATTTTAATGCAAAAAAATTTAATTGAAAAAAAAATATTTTTCCAAAAAAATTAAAAACTGAAAACGTAAACTCATTTTTTGAGTTTACGTTTTTTCCTCAAATTTATAAACTGAGACAACCATTTATAAACCACATGCTGCGGAAATAGAGTTTTTTCCATTTTGTTCCTTTGACCCTATAAAAGCACCCTATGCATGTTATAGTTTACACTGAGATTAAACAAGGCTAGAAGCCACTAATAATTAAGTTGATTGAAAAAGAAAGTTAAGCAAATTATATACTTTCACTTTATCAAATTATTTGTACTTGTATTATGTAGGTCAGGATCATTAGGAGTAGTGTTGATTACAAGCAGACCGTAGTAATATTTTGTAAAGTTCATGTTTTAAAAATTAGTTTGAAAATTTGTTATGATATGAGTTTGTCTTATGCAAATAAGTATTTGTTTCTAAATGAATGAAGTATTTCGCTATTTTAGTCAAATCTATTATGGCATCCTATTATTTGATGAGTCCTAGCCATTGATGGGGTCCATTTGTATATGCCTTTTGGCTCACGGAGATCTCTTTTCTACACGTCAACAACCTGATTGTGTCGTGTTGTATTGTTCTATCGCTAGAAATTGCATATCGTGATGTTATGTGCTAATGGATGTACACATACACTGAGTGATCATAATAGTTTTGATTAGTTTTCTTTTAATATTTTGGAGATGTGATTACAAAATGCTTATGAATGTTTTTGTGGAAGCCTTGGAAATCATTCATTAACCATTTATCTGTATTCTCATTAGCTTTAGCTCAGCCCTAAGTATGTAGTATCAGCATAGGCAGTATACCTTAGGAGTTTACTTTGGAAGACCTTTATGTAAAGTCTGTTGAGTTGGGATAGGGCCTTCGTGTTTAGACTTTGTTTTGTCCACCTTTTGAAAGTTTTGAGAAGAGCCAATGTAACTTTGTAACTTGCTGGTTTTGCAAATATTAATACTTTTGCACTTGATGTAAATTTGTTAGTTAAGCTACTCCCCTCGCGTTTTAATGTGATAGCGGTGCTAAATGTGATGATGATTGTCTGTTATGTATGATTCCGTTACTGCTCTGACATGATATGTGTATGAATTTTCATAAACACCCTGTATTTCTTATTTTGTGAAGTTGTCCGGATTGCCTTTGTGAATCTTAAGTTACTGGACCGGTCTCTCACTCTCTAACCTTTAGGGGGGTTGGGATCGGACAACTCTATCTCGTAATCCTATTTATTGTTCTAGAGGCATTGTATGGATGGTCGGTATCTAGATGATAAGTTCTTGTGAATTGGGTGATTTATTTGCACCTAAATAATACTCAGTATCTCTAATAAAATTTTGAAGAGTCTATTACAACCACTGACTTGTCTCAGTACGACCAGTTGCTTCTTCAGAGGTGGTATCCAAGTATTAATATTTTGATCCTGTCTCATACACCACCTAAATTTTCGAGATAATACCAATTATCCTTATCTTCCCTACCAACCTAACCCTAACTACTCCACAGCGATAACCGGTCGCCACCACCTCATCGTCGGCCACCACCAGGTGGCTATCATCCTTTTTGTTGCCTCTCGTCTTCCTAACTCCTCCTCTTTCTTTTTTTTTCTTCTTTTTTTCTTTCCCAGCGACGCTCACCGTTCTCTTTGCTATTATTAATGACCATAACCCTCTATTTGTTCGTCCAACACAAACTATGCTTGTCAACAATTCTGTTTTTTCTCTCCTCTCTTCTCTCTCTCTCCTCATCGTCATCACTCGCGCGCAGGTTCTTTCATCTCTCAATCGGGATGTCTCTTCGCGAGTCTCTTAGACGCGGCTTACTATGAGAGTGTGATTCGATGGTGGTCTGATCAAGGCCATCAGCATCGGCTGAGCCTAACTCCTAGATTTGACTCCTTGAACTGATAGATCTACTATGAAGAAGAATAAAAAGAAGCAAAGAAGAAGCAAAAGAAGAAAGCGACAATAGGTCAAGATAGGTTAGTTGATCATTATGCGTGGTGGAGTAAAGAGAGTGGTGGTGATATGTGTAGTGTGTCATGATGTGTGTCTTATTAAGTGTTTAATAAGGGATTTCTGTCTAATAGAGATTTGTTGAGGTTTGAATACTGAATGCC